GACAACTGGGAAGCCCAGAGAAGGCAGTGGAAGCTGCGAGGTTGGAACTTGGCGACAAGTAGTTTTGTTAAAACAAGAGAGTGTATTGCGCATTTAAGCGTGTCTGATTCAATCGATTGTACTAACTGTAGTTACCTTCTTTTCTTGACAAGATTCAGTGGTTCTTGTCCTCTGAAGTGTTCACAGAAGCTGAGTTTCATCACAGAGATGAAGCCAAATGGGAGGGAGTACCAGGCTGAGGCTGCTGTGTATATTTTTAGAGAGTTTTTCGGCCGCGGCGCTTAAAGAATGCAGAAGGCCTTGCAAGAGTGTTTTCTCCTGTGAAGCGTGTTGGCGGACCTAGTGCGCCGAAACCAACACTAGACGCACCAGCAGACTCAGACCAAAACAAAGACAGGAAGCTTACCTGGCGTCCACCAGACGTCCATTGCCATCAAAAAACACGTGTAACCCCTTAATCCTCCGCAGGTCATGCGTCGTCTCGTTAGAGCGACGTCTCGGGTGATTGGTTAACGTTGCATAGGAAATATGAGTGAGAATTATAACAGAAGTGTAGGACAACCCTCAGCGTGCTAGTGATAGGAGCCAGCGTCTGTGGGTGTGCGTTGTCCGGAACAAGGTCACCAATCTCTGTTTCGGGGTGCTCAAGATGAACATCTTTAACTTTATCCAAGTTGAGAGTCAGGAAAATGTGATGCGGGAAAACAGGCGTGTGTAATTAATCTTCGTACGGATCACAGGCTCCCCTCAAAGTGCGTCCAGAAACAGTGATGAGTTGTTGGTGTGCGCGCAGTGGCTGACGAGAGTCTCTTGGGTGTCCAGCGGACGAGACGTCAGGTTGTTGAGAAGCAGTGTGGCGAGCAGCGAGAGGAAGGGATGGAATGCCCTAGCAGAGATCCAGATTTCCTAGTTTCAAATCGCACAAAACACCTGTAGTGGATGAGTCAGCTGATCAGCCTCGTTTGCACCAGGAGCGTCAGGAGAGCGAGCAAACACGGCATTTACTCTGCAGAAGATCATCGTAACTTCATTAAAATGAACAGAAACAGAATAAAACTTAACAAAACCCTCTCTGTTAGTCTAACTGCTATATTACACATTATATATACATTATTAACTGATTACTCTGATAAAGTGATATATTATTAAACATTAAATACTAATTAACTGACAAATAACTGCTAATTATAAATAGTTTTATCACTACAAACTGCTAATTACTCATTTATATATAAATAATAATGCAAATTCGGTTTCATCACTTATTATTATATAACATTATGAACTAATTACAAAATCTTCTTTATAAATATTGATAGAACCCCCCCCCCACCAGCAGGTCGGGAAGTAAGTGCTCAGGGGCACTTCAGCAGGGAAACACACTCTGCAGGAGAGAGGAGGTCCGTGAACGCCTCTGTCGGTTGTACATGGAAGTGATCCAGATCATGAGGGCCTGGACTGGATCCAGGTGCAAAAAAAAACCCTGGCAGGATCATTAAGAGGGAGCTCTCCACTGGAGAGCACACACACATATACACACACACACTCGGCAGCACTCACACACAGTCGGAGCTGAGCAGAGGAGCTCGCATCCAGATCGGTGCCAGACGCACGGTCGACGCTCCGTGTTTGCGCGACTTTTCCTGCGTTTTTGTTCAGTTTAAATATAATAAGAGTTAATATAGTGAATTAATAGTTAATATCGCAACTTTTGTGTCAACTTTGAGGCTTTTTTTGTTGTGTCTGATTTCTACGCGTATTTGGAGTATCTCTGGGGATTAAAGGTGGACTCTCCACGAACCGCAGCGCAGGTACAGTAAAGTTTGAAGAGAAATAAAATAAACAGGCTGAATTCAAATTCCTCACTCTGTGGAGTTTTGTCCACAGTTTGAATGCGTGTATCCTGATCTTGTTCCTCCTCTTCTCCTCTCACAGAAGTCATCTTGAAAAGACAACTTCGGCCAGGATTAGTTTCTTTCCGCCGCAGGAGCGCAGCAGCAGCTCGGAGTCAGTGCGTCTTCATCTGGGTTCTCTCTCTCTCTTTTTTATTTTTCTTGGTTTTTTGGGTGTTTTTTTTTTTTTTACTTGAGCCGTCCCAGAAATGGTGGGGCACCTACATTTACAAGCGATGGATGATAGTCTGAAAGGAAAGAACCGGGAAGGGCTGCTCGACAGTCCGGATTCGGGGTTGCCCCCCAGCCCCAGTCCGCCCTTCTGCTCACTCTCTCCGGGTCTGATCGAGTCGCGCTCCGGCAGCTGCACGACGCCCGTCGAAAGCCATCATGGATATTACAGAAAGGAGAGCAGGGAAGGCAAACTGGTAAGAATGAAAGATCTATTCTGTGTGTTTATTGTGTGAGAGCGGCTCTGCTGTGCGTCCACTGTCACCCAGCAGTCTCCCACTCTCTGAATTACAGGGTACAAAAGAGCTAATGGGAGAATAATGACGAGAGAAACTGAAAATCTGAAAGCATTTTAGTGTGAAACAGATTTCTCTTCAGTTCCTCACACAACATCTGGAAGCTCTCTCTCTCTCTCTCTCTCTCTCTCTCTCTCTCTCTCTCTGTGCGGAATTCCTCAGTTCAAACTTCTGATGTTGCACTTGTGCAGAAGATGCCACTGACCCCCAGTAAACCCAGTAAAATCCTCTGGGTCTCTCCTGTTTCACTCTTGTGCATCAGCTGGACTTTATGATGCCTCGATGTGGGGTTGGGGGGTCAGCGGGTTGATTGGACCCAGTTGGGTTTCCAAAACTGGGGTCCAGGGACTCCCAGGGGTCCTTGCCAGCAAGGGGGCGCCCAAAGAGATGTCAGAAGGTTTTATAACATTAGTGACAGCATACAGGCAGATGTTCTCATAAAGGGCTGTGGTGGATCTACATGGGGGGGGGTTAATCTTCTTCAAGGTCTGACATGTTGATGAGAAAGCTGAAGAATCTTCTAGGTCATAATCCAGACTTTTAGATCTATAACACAGCAGTTCCCAACCTGGGGGGGTCCGAGGCCTCCACTAGGGGTCGCCAAAGCTTCACAGCAGGTTGCGAAGCCTTCTTGATGTAAAAAAACTTTAAAAATATACACAATATCTCAGAATTTGGCTCATTTCTTTTAAAGAAAAGTAGACGTAAAGTAAAGGAAACTCTAATAAACAAGAAAACACTGAATTTGTCAAAAAAGAAGCTTATAAAGTCGTTTAAGTTGTTAAAAAATATGAAAAAATACATCACACGTTTTACACAAATTTCCTGCAGTTCCCTGTTTGGATTCACTGTCCAGTTTTGAATATAATATGAAATATCAAAAAAATATGTCACTTAGTCCATTTACTAAATGATAGAAAAGGGAAAAAGGCGGCTATAAAACCTTAAAATAAACCCTTCAGCAGCAGGTCTGTGTCCTCTGTTGGACTTTAAATGACCAGAAAGGGAAATCAGTTATTTATTAGATCAATACTTTCCAAACTATTTTGGTTTGTGAGGCTTTAAAGTGAAGGGATGTCCACTCGCAACCCTTCTTCATTCTCAGATTAGTTCATTTAAATTGTACTTCCTTAATAAAACTTCACAGTGTTTCATACTGAGAAGCAACTGGAACACGTGTTTTCCTTCTTATTTTCGTACTTATCAATCATCTCGTGACCCCTCTGATTGATCGACAACTCCCCATATCAGAGTGAGACCTTCAGTATGTTGACTCAAATACAAAGTCATGTGCTGTGTAACTTGAGTTAATGTGTATTAGTTTGCACACTGCTACCTGAGCTGATGTAAAGTTACAAGAAATGGAGAGAATCCTGTAAAGTTTGTTTATTTATCTCTCAAAAGGGTTAAAAAATGAGGGATTGCGGCGAGACACTACAGGCAAAAACATGTTTTTTTAATGCACTGATCAATTTGGAGGTTATTTTGCTGCCAGAACATGTTTTCTTTCAGACTAGTGGAAAGAAAACACCCCTTTCTTCAGTTTGTCTGTTTGCGTCTGTAGATTTCACCAAAAGTTAGCATTAGGTAATACCATATTTGCATTTTTAACCATAAAACTTCAGAAAACTTGTAATACAAAAGATAATTGTCTTAATGTCAGTAAGCAACTGGGGAAGTTTCATGCTGATATTTATTAGTTACATTTTTTATCCTATTCACCTGTAGGGAATTTTACAATACATATCTTTAAAGGATGTTTTTCCTTTCTCCACTTCAGTAGCTATTACATACACCAAACCTTCCAGTTTTATTCCTCTATATATTCTGAAGGGTTATACAAAATTCTTTTGTTCAATATCATTCACAGCCTGATTTATATCCCATTTTATGCATGAAAACTTGGCGAAAACGTCTTCTATGGCTGTTTTCTGACTTATGGAGTGAAGACTCATTTGAATATTTAAACTAAAAACTTCTGAAAACTTGTAACACAAAAAATAATTGTCTTAATGTCAATAATTAACTAGGAAAGTTTCCTGCTAATATCTGTTACATTTTCTATTCTATTCACCTGTAGGGAGTCTCACACTCTAAGCCAGAAATCTCCACTTCAGTAGCTCTTACATACACCAAACCTTCCAGTTTTATTCCTCTATACATTCTGAAGGTTTTTTACAATATTGTTTTGTTCCAATACCATTCACAGCCTGATTTATATCACATTTTATTAATAAAAACACGGCAAAAACTGTTGCCTGATGCCTCATTGGCATATTTAAACTCAAAACTTCAGAAAACTCATAATGCAAAAGATAATTGTCTTAAAGTGAGTAAACCACTGGGGAAGTTTCATGCTGATATGTATTAGTTTAAAGTTTTACCCCATCCACCCTTAAAGCTAAAAATACATCAGCATCTGGAAGCCAGGGATTTATTAATGTTCAATTCACCGTGTCTGTGCACGTGGGAGCAGAAAACAGAAACAGGACCCTCCACAAAAAGCCAAAAGTGTCCCTGTTCATAATAACAGTTAGAAACCTGCCTCCAGTCCAGACATAGAGCGGAAATATTAAGAGAAACATACGGCCAAGCTAAGTTGTGTTTAAGTCTTTACGCTCACAGGTTGCACATTTCTTTAATTATTTCCTGAAAAATGAACCCAAATATCTCTTTGGGCATCAGGATTCTATTACTTGTCTGTAATAATTAAATCTTAAAGGGGATTTTTCGTGATATTTCCCAGCAATGTGTGCAACAGCTGTACTTTGAATGGACGGCGCACCCCGAGGCCACACTGAGCCGAGGACGGACCCGATCGCTCTCATATTAGAACCGATTCCACGAAAACTGATGATAATTGTTGTTAATGCTTTTTAATGACACATCCTGCAGTGATTTGTGTCACACATGACATGACAAGGCTGATTTGATTGAAAATCATTTCCAGGTCACTCCCAGTTCCAGGAGGCTTGAGAACATGTCTGCACAGGTTCTGGAGGTGAGGGTGAGGGGGTGGCTTTTAGAAGCGAGGCCTCAGAAATGCATCCTGGGAGTTGCGTGACATTGGTTTTGCTCCAGCCTGAAACAGAAAAAAAAGATCTCTCTAATCCTCTGGAGGTTTAGATTAGTAGGACTCCTCTGCCTTTGTGGTTTTCTTTATAAAGATCTGCCCCCCGATAGCTCCTGCTTGTGTTTCTAATCCCGTCTGTGGGTTGTTTTCTCGAGTCGTGAGCAGGACGCGCTCCATTTTATTTTCTCTTTCCAGATCTATTTTTGTGTTGTTTTTGTGTGCCACCTAAGAACAATCCTCCAGTTCTATTTCGGGGTGAGGTCGGGGGGCTTGTTAGAGCGGCTGCGGGCCGTTGCATAAGTGTTTGATGACCTCTCACTTCTAAATTAAAGGTAGATAAACACTCTGCGTCTGTTTGTCAAACCTGAGTCAAATTCACACAGACGCTGGATAATTGCATGCGATAAAGTGGTGCCAATGAGTGGGGTCCTGTAATCTGGTGCCACTAGGGGTCGCTAAGGCTTCATGGG